AACAACTCCAAGAGAGAATTAGTCAGTTTATCCTTGGAATTTCATAGCACTAAATCTGGACTTCTACTTGATCCAAACACCATGATGTCTTGTGTTATTTGTATTATTTATGTAATCATTCCCTGTACGGCTGTAAGCTACTCACCCTTGTGTGTTCAACATTATCCAGCATAGGACAAAAGAACATACTGAATACATTAATAAATGTACACAGTTATAGATCCATCTCTTACAATGAACTCACAGACACAGCAAATTCAAGGGATAAGATGAAAACTTCAAAAAGAAAATGATAACCTTGCATAGTAAACATAAAAATACAGCAAATATTCAGTTTTTCTGATCTTAGCTTTCCAGAGAGTGATTATTAAAGAAGCAAGAATTTATGACTTGCTGAAAACACAGGATCAGTTTCTAACAGAAGGACTACATTCCCTTCTCTGAGTTTGAACCTGAACATATTAAAGTATTTGAAGTTAATTCAGAGAAAAAGAGTACCAATCTGCAATACGTGCAAGATTCTATTTTTCTCTAAAATTTCACTGTGAAGAATAAACAGAAGGTTACTAATAGTTTATATCCTTGCATATTTTGTTTTGTGGGACAATGTACTCTTTTCAGATTTAAGAACTGTTTTACTTCATTTTCTATCCCTTATTTTATAATAACTAGCCATGGAATTTCAGTGTTTCATATGTGAAAGAAGGAAAAGAAATAACATTTTAAAGGATTGTTTCTTTCATTGAATTTTCCTGTTCTTTGGCTAGCATGAATTACAAATATTCACGGATGAGGACCATTATGTTAGTCTGTGGTGAGTGTTATATGAGATAAAAGAGAAGGGATGAGATCAGCTCCTATACAGCTGCTAGACATCCTTTTATTGAAAAACGTATTTAAAATGTCCCATCTTCGATGGAGGGGCAATGATTTAAAAGACACAGCTGCTAGTTAAGTAACAGAAATGGCACCTGGGTTCCAACTGGGCTTAGGTGTGAGCAATTTTGAGAATAGGCTTGGAACAGAAAGCAATGAGGTGGGGGTAGAAATTCTTTTGCCGTTAAAGGCAATGTCATCGTCAAAGTTTATAGAGATCCCAGTTTTCAAGGTATCACAATTGAAAATTCAAAGCAATTTTGGGAAAAGATATGTGCTATTATGTTGAACTGTCTTTTGAGTTAAAAATATTTAGCTGAATTAATGTTAGATGATTGGGAGGGGTTTTTAAATCATGCAAATGAAAGATGTATTTTTCTCAGGGCAATGAAATTCACACACAGTGAAGCATTACTGATCATTACCATGGGGAAGGCATACTTCTGCCTAATCAAATGTCCATTAATACCGAGAATGTCTGTCCTTTTCATTGATTGCAGTTTAAAAAGGAACACATGAAAAGGTGGTCACAGAAGATAGAGATGCCTTCATTAGTCAACATGAATGGCATACTCTTCTTTTTAATGTTCTTTCCTTCTCTTCTCTTTTTCCTCAGAGCTCTGTGAAAAGTGGTGTGTGTAAACTCTCTCTATAAAATGCAATTAGTAAGTTAGGGATAAATCAATCACATTTTCTGTTAAAAATTGCCTCTCCTGCTGCATCCTCTTTACAGTGTCTTAGATAATACCCTCGGCCATGGAGATAGATTAGACCCTCCTCTTGTTTTTGTTTTTGAATTGGAGGTGGCCTGAAGGGCTGGTTAGAATAGAATGTGAGGCCACTCTGAGGTCAAGGTTATTGATGGAAAACACTGTTGGAAATACAAGCAGTGACATGGGCACAGTGGAGGGAAATGCACTTTACGTAATGCAGAGCTTGGTCTAAGTCCTGTTTTTTCTTCTTATTAATTGTGTAATCTTGGATAAGGTAAAGTATTTGATTTCATAATTTTTATTTTTTTATTACACAAATGTTTTTGGAACCTCTATTCCATGGTAGGCACTGTTGTGTGGCTTGGCATTCCAATGATAAGCCAAACAGACAAAGTGCTCACCCTCATGATGCTTAAGTATTAGAGGGGACATTGATGGGAAATGCACATGTGCGGATATATTGCAGTGCCAAGTGGTAACAAGTGGAATGAAGAAAGATTATGGAGAAGAAATGGAGACAGTGACAGCAGATGCTATTAGAGATAGAGTAGACATGGAAGGCCATGCTGGGCATGCTTAATTGATGAGACCCAACCGAACGAAATGAGGGTACCTCACTTCGTTTAAATTACTCTCTATAATGAGAATATTAGCAGCTACATTGATGGAGTCTAAAACAACATATGGAAAGCATGAGTGTGGCATAGCAGCTCAACAATCAGCCACAGCTCTCAGTGTTGTGACTGCAAAATGTTTGGTCACCTGTCATAGGCGATATTCACTTCAAAGTTTGGGTTCACATCTCAATTACTCGGATTTCATCCTTACACGTTGTATACATGCATCAGTGTATCACATGTATCCCCCAAATATGTACAGATATGAGATATCTATCAATAAAAAATTTTAAGAAAGATTTGGGTTCAAATATGATTTCCATTTCTTCAGGTACACATTTGATACTACAGAAGTCAGTCTTAGTTACATTTTTGAATTTCATTTGATTCTCATATTCACCATATAAAGGTTGCTCTACCTCTGCCTTTGTTTTAATACCACTTATTTTCCTCATCATAGCCTCGTGATTGCATATATGTTAGGCAGGATTTGAATAATTATAACAGCATTTGTGCTGCCTTCAGGTCTTAAATATTTTTCAAACATAAATTTCATAATTCATGGCATTTTCTCCAGATGTCTTTTGCAGCTTAAAGGACATGAAATCCTGGTTGCTGGGTCTATAATTCAACAAAAGAAAATATAGGTAAATAAGGCAGGACAAACATGGTAGGATTTGGAAAGTGAACTAGAATTTACTGTTGGCTTCAAGAAAATCTTTAAGGTCAAGAAAGAAAACAGTGTATGACAAGAGAAGCGAACAGAATTGTCTAGGACAGACAGTGTGAAATCAAACTATTAAATGGATCAGAGACAGCAAAGGAATCTGGGCTGTCAGGAGAAAGAGGACCATAACCAGGGACCCATAAGACATTTTAATATACAATAAACAACATGTTGTAGAGGACAGCAACGAAGTACAAGAACATTTAGGTTTTCTTGATTCATCTTCTATAATCCTTGAATGAACAGGGGGCAAAACTGCCACCCATTTGACATTGATAAGTGAAATAAAGTAATTATTCAGCACTTAATGAACATACTTAACACTTACTGAAAGTAATCATGTGTTCTGAGTCTTTTAATTATTAAGCCTTTTAATCCTTGGAAACATTTTATCACATAAGTGTGAGGATGTCCATTGTTCACAGAAACAAACTCAGACTCAGAGAGGTTATGTAACTTTCCCAAGGTCACACAGGAATTTGATCTTCATGCAGGCAGTGTGGCTCCAGATGCCTTGTTGTTTGTAAACACTATAACACTCTCATGCTCATGAATTTAGCTATCCTTTCAAAAAATCTCTTTATTGGTATTATTATCCTACTTTCACCATTTATGAAATGAGGTACAGAGAGATTAAGTAACTTTTTCACGATGAAGCATGTTGAAAGTGGCGTAGAAAATAACAACTACATTCTCTAGGTTATGCGTTTTACTATACCATGCTGGGAGGAGACTAGAAACCCAGCGTACTAGCTCCTGCAGTTTGAGGGCAAAACTGGTTCTTCTGACTCACTTTATCAGAATGATATTACCAAGGCACGTGCTCTTTTGAAAGTCAAAGCATTTGACTGAACAAGCTTAGTTTCCCTGTACTACTTCTCCTCCACTCCCCACTGGACAGATTACACAGCATTAGAGGTGGAGTGAAGAGGTAACACTATCCATTCCCCTTATTTTACAAGAGGAGGAATTACTATTTAATGGAAATATTCACAATTTGTCCCAAGTCACCCAAGTTAAGGAGTAGTCATATGTTTCTTGCCATTATATCATATTCATATTAATTCTTTGACTCATTTATTCATAGGTCACATATTAGTGAAGCACTTACTATATTCAACAAGTCTCAACTGTCATCCTGTGAGATTAAAGAGTTGACAAGGCTCTTACCTTCAAGGACAGGAGCAGGTATCAACCAAGCACATAAACAACACTGTAGTGGGGAAAGAAACGCAGAGAAAGAGAGAGTGCAAAACATATGGCAGGGATACAGATTCAGAAACAAGAGTTTGCTTGCAACTGATGAAATCAAGAAGGGAAGGTTTTATGTTAAAGTTAAATTGAGAGCTGAATTTGAAGAGATTATCACAGTCATGCAATCAGGAGAGACCTGATCACTCAAGGTAACAGGTGAGTTAAAGTCCAGAGACAGGCAAATGTTTCACTTTAATGGGCACCAGGGGTCATCTCTCTTGGCAGGAGAACTAAGCGCAGGAAGGGAAAGTACCATCGCTGCAAGTTGGAGAGCCAGGTGGATGCCCGATACTGTTTTAGCAATGACCTCAAATGACAAAATACGAATCATTCAGAATTAAGAGATACTAAGGTTAAGATATATTTATTGGAAATAGAATGAAAAGAGTATCTACACAAACTGAAATCAAAACCTGAGGTATTATAACTAAGGTACTGATTCAAAAGACTCATTGAGGCCATAGCCATAACCAACAATATGAATAATAACTGGCCGAATCAAAACCACTCATGCATTAAATTAGAACATTTGTATTACAGTGCTTGAAGCAGAATGAGCTTTTCTATGTTAGATATATGAAAGGCACAATTCACGATAGAGCCATTACCTGGACTAAGGGTGTACTTGGGCAGACAGAGTCAGTCCACACAGTGGAACAAGAACACACATTTTGATAGAATATAATAATTTTCTTATTTACAATTAAAGGTTACAGGTGAGCCCTCAGTTTTCTCTCTCACACTTTTGATGATCTAACAACGTGAAAATTGTTTCTATCTGGTATTTATTATGACCGATGCTGTTTCATCTAGGTCAGTCCTTCTTGGCCTTTTCTGCAGTTCCTGGAACACTGCTCTCAAAAAATTCAAGCTGATAGTGGGGAACCAAAAGAGCAGCCAAAGCCTCAGGATTCCCAGTGACGAGCAGCAGGTAGGCCACTGGAACACACCCCCAGGACACGTCGCACACATGCACCTGAAGATGTTATCAGAAAAAATGAAACCCTGCTTTGCTAATGGGAATGTGTCCAGGTTGAAGAAGTCCTAGCCCCTGCAGCAGGATAAATCCTCCTTTGAGCAGGAATTTTGTTAGCTGTTCCTTTACTCATTTGTAATGTAATCTTAATGTGTGTATCTTTTTTTTAGCAAGTTATCTTTTGAGTGTGTGTGTGTATGGTTGTTATAGATTTTCTTAAGAAGGGATCAATAGCCATGCAGGGATTCATAACAACAGGAAAATGCCAACAAGACCCACTTGAGAAGGGTCTCCTTCTGAAAAAAATAACTCTACCTGATGGAATATTAAGAAAATATACTGTTAAGTGGATGTGCCATACTAAGCAATAAGCATATGTTATTCAGGAATTAAAGCAGAAACTGAAAAAGGGCAGAATGAGAATGTCCATTCTAAGATTTCTAAAATATCTGGGGGTAATGTTTCCTTATTTTCTTTCACAGCAATGAGACTTTATTTTGGGGAGGAAACAGAAGAATTTTATTTGGGGAAGGAATTTGGTAAGCATCCCAAATATGAATTTTTTGATTGATATATTTTGAGAGGTGACCTTGTAGACAGATAATAGTGGTAGAGCTGGATAAGACTGTCTTGAAAAAATTTATCATCTTATGCATAATTTATACTGTGAACTATACAGAAGAGAATTTTGTATAAAAATATTAGATTTATTAGAGCATTCTTTGACAAACAGAAATTTAAAACATGAAATGAAGCTCTATGTCAGATACAAATTGTAAATCTCAGATTACTAAAGCACAGCATCAGATAGTTCCAGAGACAGAAAACCTTTGGTCCTATTCTGGAACCTTCAAAATTATCATCATAGCATATTGCCCAGCAAAATGTTGAGTAGGTTATCTGTTTGTCTGTCTGTATATCAATGGTTTATCCAATAATTACATATTGAGTGGTCATGATGGAGCAGTATTATTCCAGGTAATGATTCTACAGGAGTTAAAAAGTTAAAAAGACAATCGTTTGCCCTAATTCAGATTTATAATTTGAAAACATGACATTGTTGTTTATGTATTGAGTAAATGTTTAATTGTCTGTATCAATAAACCAAAAACTGAGTATTAACTGGGGATTCAACTAACAGTGGGATGGAATTCACATCACTGGGCAATATACAGTGTTATGGATAAGATGCAACTTTAAAAACACAAATATAATACAGTCTTAGCAGCTTTTTAAAATTTTATAAAACTTTATGGAGATCTAATTTACATGCTATAAAATTTACCAACTCAAAATATGCAATCTAATGTTTCTGAGCATATTCACAGTTGTGCACACATTACCACATTACAATTTTAGAACATATTTATTACTCCAAGAAGAAATCTTGTATTCATTTAATTTTTTTCAATAATGTATTTTAGTTTTCAGCGTTCAAGTCATACTGTCCTTTATTGTTAAATTCCATACTTTTTTACTATTTTGGATTGTACTGTAATTAAAATTGTCTTCTTTTAGAGTTAGATTGTTTATAATGAATGTCGAGAAGTACAACTGATTTTCATACATTGTTATTGAATCCCGCAAGATTTTGCATTCTACTTTTTTGGAAGAGTTTTCAAATGATTGATATTAACTATTCTTAAACATTTGGTAGATTTTATCAGTGAAGGCATCTTGCCCTCTGTTGTGGGAAGTCAGGGACCCCAAAAGGAGGGACCAGCTGAAGCCATGGCAGAACATAAATTGTGAAGATTTCATGGACATTTATTAGTTCCCCAAATTAATACTTTTATAATTTCTTACGCCTGTCTTTACTGAAATCTCTGAACATAAATTGTGAAGATTTCATGGACGTTTATCACTTCCCCAATCAATATTCTTCTGATTTCCATGCCTGTCTTTACTTTAATCTCTTAATCTTGTCATCTTCGTAAGCTGAGGATGTATGTCACCTCAGGACCATGTGATGATTGTGTTAACTGCACAAATTGTTTAAACAATATGAAATCTGGGCACCTTGAAAAAAGAACAGGGTAACAATGATGCTCAGGAAACAAGGGAGATAACCATTAGGTCTGACTGCCTGAGAGCTGGGTGGAACAGAGCCATGTTTCTCTTCTTTCAAAAGCAAATAGGAGAAATATTGCTGAATTCTTTTTCTTAGCAAGGAACAGCCCTGAGAAAGAGAATGCATTCCTAGGGCAAGGTCCCTAAAATGACCGCTCTGGGAACATTTGTCTTTTACAGTGGCAGATAAGGGATGAAATAAGCCCCGGTCTCCCATTGAGCTCCCAGGCCTATTAGGATGAGGAAATTCCTGCCTAACAAATTTTGGTCAGACTGGTTGTCTGCTCTCAAACACTGTCTCCTGATAAGATGTTATCAATGACAATGCGTGCCTGAAACTTCATTAGCAATTTAAATTTTGCCCCAGTCCCGTGATCTCGCCCTGCCTCCATTTGCCTTCTAATATTTTATTACCTTGTGAAGCATGTGATCTCTGTGACCCACAACCTATTCGTACACTCCCTCCTCTTTGAAAATCACCAATAAAAACTTGCTGGTTTTGTGGCTAGGGGCCATGATGGAACCTGCTGAGATGTGATGTCTTCCCTGGACACCCAGCTTTAAAATTTCTCTCTTTTGTACTCTTTCCCTTTATTTCTCAGGCTGGCCAACACTTAGGGAAGATAGAAAAGGACTCACGTTGAATTATTGGGGGTGGGTTCCCCTGATAGCCCTCAGCTTTTCTTTGTGGGAAATTTTAAGAGTCCTAATTTATTCTCTTTACTTATTATATGTATCTTCAGATTTTCTATTTTTTGAGTAATTTTCAGTTGTTTTTATGTTTATAGGAATTTATTCCTTTCATTGAAGAAGTATATATTATAATTCCTGATAGACTTTAATACAAAGTCTATTGTTTCTCTGTCCTTTATTTATTTCTAATCTAATGTTTATTACACTTGTTGAAATTTGTTTGTCTAATATTAGTATAGACACCCCAGCTCCCTTTAAGTTTTTGTATGCATGATACATCTCTTGCCATCTTTTTACTTTCAATCTATTTGTATCTTTGGATCCAAAGTGTCTTACTTGTAGACAGCACATAGTCATGTCACACATTTATCCATTCTTCCAATTTTTATCTTTGATTGTAGGGTTTTATCCATTTATATTTATTGTAATTAGTGATAAAGTAAGATTTATCTCTGTCATTTTGGTGCTTATTTCTGTATGTCTCACCTTTGTTACTTTCTCTGTCACTGCTCTTTTATACTAAATACATATATTCCAGTATATTCATTTATTTTGATAGTTGGTCTTGCTATGTTGCCTAGGCTGGATTCAGACTCCTGGGATCAAGTGATACTCCTGACTCAGCTTCTTGAATAGCTGGGACTACATGCACATGCCACTGCACCTGGCTAGTGTACCATTTAAATTTCCCTATTTTTTTTTTTTTGTATTTGTGTACATATTTTTTTGGCCTTGATGGCTGCCTTCAGGATTACATTTAGCATTCTAATTGAAAATAATCTAGCTTAGATTAATACTAACATAATTTAGATAGTATACAGAAGATTTGTTCTAACATTGCTCCATTTACCCTTTCTCTGTGCTATTATTGTTATGCTAATTAGATCTTTAGACATTATATGCCCATCAACACATTTTTAAAATAATTGCTATGTAGTTGTCTTTAAAATTATATGAAAAGAAAATATTACCAAAATACATTTACACTATTTCTTATATTTACAAAATTAGTTACATTTACTGGTGCTTTTTATTTCTTCCTGTGGTTGATCTATTAGCTAATTTCCTCTTATTTGAGCCTGAACAATGTCCTTAGTGTTTCTTTTGGAGCGGCATGCTAGCAATGAATTCTGTTTTTAATTTGGAAAGTTAATTTGGTGGAATATAAGATTCATGATTAATATTTTTCTCTTTTAACACCCTGAATGTCTCATTTTATTACCTTCTGGGCTGCATGGTTTCTGATGAGAACTCAGCCATGACTCACATTGAAGAGCCCTTTTATGTGATAAGTCATTTTTTTCTCTTACCAGTTTCTCTTTTATCTTTGACTACAAAGTGATTAGGTGTGTACTTCCTTGAGTTTATCCTACTCGAAGTCTATAGAGGTTTTTAGATTTTTAGATTAACATTTTTCATCAAATTTGGGAAGTTTTCCACAATTATTTCTTCATTTTTTTTCTTTCTGTTCCTCAGACAGAATATTCTCTATTATTTATGTTTGAGTTCACTGATTTTTTCTTCTGCTACTGTTCTCTGCTCTTCTGCCTCACTAGTGAATTTTCATTTATTATACTTTTTAACCCCAGGATTTACATTTAGTTCATTTGTATAATTTACTGTCCATTAATTATCTAGACATGTTTTTCTTTAGTTCTTCCAATATGTTGGTAATAGTTGATTTAAGCTCTTTTTTCAGTAACCCCAACATTTGTCTCTTAAGAAATGTTACATCAACTGCTTCTGTATCAGATTTATGTTTTCCCCTCTATATAGGAACCATCCTTTCCTGGTAGTTTGTGTATCATATACATTTTCATTGAAAACTGTACATTCAAAAAATATCATGTACACATTATATAAAAGAGATTCCTGCCTGCCTACTTCCTTCTCTGGCATTTATTACTGTTGCTGTATTGTTTTTGCTATTTGTTTAGTGAATTATCTTCCCCCTTTTCCCAATAAGTGTGTGTTGGGCAAGTGTTCACCATATAGGCAGTTTACAGCTGTGCCTTATCACTCACTTCCTGCATGTTCAGGGCCTCAACATGAACAAAATGAGAAACTGTAGCTCTCTCAGGTCTCTCCTGGGCATGTATACAAATGGTTCTGCAAATGTGCATGGTTTTCTAAATCCATATCAACACTTTCAAAAGTCCCATTGACATCCCATGCCCCATATCATAGTCTCTAAATTCTGTTGTTTTTTTTTTTAAGATTTTGTCCAGGTTCTTGTTTTCCCCACTGATATTGCAGCCTCATGAAAGTTGTGATATTAAACAATTGTTGCTGATTGTTTATGACAAACACCTGGGAAACAGGGCTTTTCCCATGGAGTAAGCATGGAGATTTGTCAAATAATGACATACTCTGCAGATAGGGCTTCTGATGGAGCTGGGATATAGGTCAATAGTGATGATGCTTTGAGAATAGGACTGTTTGTGGAACTGTAAACCCAATCTTCGCCTTCCACTACAACAGGGCTGGTAGTTTTCACAGCTATCATTGTTTTGAGGCTGCTGGTTCTCAGACTATGGTAAAGCTGAAGAGAACAGAATGGGAGTAGGTCAAGCTATAATACCAAAGACTGTGTTGTTCTCGTAAAGATTCAGCAGTTTTTTTTTTTTTTTTTTAAATAAATACTTACCAGATTGTTACAAGACTTTGGTCAATTTTGACTGCTATAAAAATGGTTGACATTTACAATTTTTGCTGGTATTTTTGTTACTTTTATGGATGAGTTGATTTACATAGGTCCTCATTCTGTGATTCTGGA